CTGTTGTCCTGGATGCATTACCAGTGTTGGGTCTAATGCCTTAAGAAATTAATTTCTGATTAATTACTTTTCCCTTGAAAAAGTTAAGTAAATGTAACAATTTAAGTCAATTTCAACCTTTTTCTCGAAATTTACGTTTTTTTTCTCTAAACAACTTTTTCTCGAAATTAAACGAGTTTAATCTCGCATTATGATAACTGTAATCTCGAGATGGTTTTACTTTTTTACTATTGCTTGGCCCTAATCCTCTTCCGTAAGTAAGGGATTACTTTAACTTATTTATTTATTTTTCTGTAATTTAACTGACGTAATTGTATTAAATAGTGTATGGACTATAGAACAATATATATATATATATATATATATATATATAACAATTTAACATCAGAATTCAATGTTAACCCTTAAATGTATGAATATTTTGCCAATAATTATTACATATTCAGGTCTTTAGCAACCTGGATCTACTGTATATGAAACATGGATGGATCTCTACCTGTCGCTATAATATAAAACTTATATTGTTACCTTTTGCATTTCCCAGTACATTCAGCATCTGAATCATATTTGCAATCTCAACATATTTTCAAAACTATCATTTTTAACATCGTCAAAAATCATTATTCAGCATCACCAGATCCACCATGAAGTGACCGTGTCACTCATATTTGACTGCATTCAGTATTTGCAGTAAATCACTGAGCCATTTCAAGTTTTGCTGATACTTCATACAGTTTTTTTCTGCTGCTGTAACTATGAGTGAAACGCCACTTCATCATGGTGTATTAGACATTGCCACTTTGTGGAATAATGATGAATTGCACTTGATCAGTCATCAAAGATATTGTTGTGCAGAAAAAAAAAAAAAAATATATATATATATATATATATATATATTAGGGGTGTAACGGTGCATGTATTCGTATTGAACCGTTTCGGTTCGAGGCTTCCGGTTCGGTATGCATACAAACCGAACGATTGCTTGGACCATTTTTCCTGCCGGCAAAATTCGTGCTGACGCGGCCAACACAACGTTGCGCAACATCAAATGGCAAGCGTAATGAAAGCAGAACGAAACTGCGCTACTCGTTATGTGCTTCACGGATCGTTTATCAGTTCGGACCAGCAACATCTGTGCAGCGCGAGCCGATCTCGATCAAGCAACAATGTTACTACATAGCGCTTAGAGATCCGGTAAAGAAAACATTTGAATTCGCCACTGAGGTAATAACATCGCTGCGAGATCTAGTGAGATGCATTCACATTTCTCCGTTATTAACCGTAGATCTCTATTAGATTAAACAGCGCTGTCATGGAAACCAGGAGAAACATTGTGCCGTGAATGAACTATAGTAATACTTTCGTCCACAGACCAGCAACATTCACCATGGATTTAATATAGTAACACTAACTGGAACCAGTTTGGAATGGTGAAATGCTTTCAAGTACTTCACACATCTTTTTCCAGCACTTCAAATTCAAATATTATATAAATAAATATATATTTAAAAGTTATTTTTAATGTGATGACCAAAACATTATTTGTTCATCCTTCAAAGATGACCCCCATTTATAAACCTGAAAGTTTCAAGATCTAGGACAACTCACACTTATTTAAAAATATTTTTTCTTTAAACAAATAGGAAATTTCTCTGGCATTTCTTTCTTTTTGCTGTATCGAAAACGTACCAAACCGTGACTTTAAAACCGCGGTACGTACCGAACCGTGATTTTTGTGTACCGTTACACCCCTAATATATATATATACTTACACTGTTACACACCTCGGGTTGTTAGTGACCCTACCATTTTTTACAAAAAACTGAGAACACAGGTATTCTTTTATAATTTAATTATTTTTTTTCTTGTTGTATTGTTTGTAATAAATTGATTGAGGAATACTAAGAAGGCTGATGTCTAACTTTAAAAAAAATTAAGGAACATCCTAGTTCTGGCCTCATTCATCTTTCTGATAAACGAAAAGGAGGAGCTTATTGGATGGATGTGTGAATTATGAAATGGCACCTAATCATGTGCTGAGTGTATGAAATGAGTGTGAAGGGTGAGAGGTGACAGCCTGTCACTTGCAGGCAATGAGTCAGAAAAGAGGCATAAACAACCAAATTCAATTAGCAGAAAAAATTCTGACTGACATTGACAGCGACTGGAGGGGGTTACAAAAAAATAGTTTAGGCTCCTGTGTAATCGTAGCCTATTAAGCAACTCAAACATACCAACAATTACTAAAAACATATTTTGCGTGGGCATTGCGATTCATTTTTGAAGTAGTGATTCATTTTTGAAAAAAGTAGCGATTTAACTGAATCTGTAAGTCAGCTACACAGTTTAATTCTGAATATTATATTTTTATTCTGCAGTGTTACTTCTCAGAGTTTAGGATCCTGTGTATTATAGCCTTGGCTATTAAGCAACTCAAACTAAAAACAGATTTTGCGCAGGCATTGCACTAGTTATTACAAATAGACAGAACATTGGAAGA